AACTAAATTTAAGAGTTTTTATTAAAATGCTCACACACAATTATTAATCACATTTTTTTTTAATTTTCTTTTTACTTGATTTCTATCATATTAAAACTTTCTTTGCATTCACGATAATTATTGATTAGGGCACGCTTTTAGATTTTATTTGTGACTATATAAGCATTACATTTTTTCTTCCCTCTGTGTCATTTAATACAAGTTAGTAAGTGTTGCTTCCCAGCTCTGCTTTACTTAAGTTTAAACTAAATTTAAGAGTTTTTATTAAAATGCGTTTCCATTAAAGTCTCAAGATGGCAGGATTAAAGCTCGCTTTACCCGAAATTTTATCTATATATTTTTAATGGCCTTTTCACCAAAATAGCACTGTTCCGAGTAAAGATTTCGGTCTTATGATGGATATTCTCCGAAACATTATGGGTTTGGGTAAAGTACTCAGTTGGGGTGACAGAAATTCAAATGATGGGGATTACTGCATTATTTGGTAATTGCCAATCGATATCCGTTGATGATGTGTTGGAGCGATTGCGGTGTTGTACTGTCTAACCACCCTAATTGGTAGTGGCAGTAATTATGTAGAGAATTTTCTCTCGTTTCTGATTAAGGTCATAATAGGGATTGCAAATATTAAAACATAAATGGATTTTACCTTGCATAAATAGTTTCCTCCTATTTATACATTTAAATGGACTTCCGCATTTAATAGTGAAATTAATGCAATACGCTGAAATTATAAACAATTTCGAAAAGTTTTATTCAGTTTATTTTTGTCACGATGAGATTATATTTTTAATATAAAAAATTTCTATTTAAACATAAAGTTAATCAAGATGTTTAGAAACAAACGTTGTTGTTTTTAATTTTTTTTTACCCAAAATATTACTTGAAACTAATTCGCAGGACAGTATAATATGAGAAATATAGAATTAATATTATTTTTGTAAACAATGTTTTCATCGGCGATGGCAATTGATAACGAATGTTATATAGTATGAAACTATTTGTATCTACCTGACTCGTAGCACATTGGCAAGCCGCTGGTGATTCTTAGGTTTTCTAATTTGATTGCTTGCTCTGTTCAGAAAATTGCCTCGTTAGTCGGACTACCTGGTGGGAATTTCCGATTTTCTCCCACACGATAAGCAAAAAGGCGGGATAGTTCCCCCTAAAAGTCCTTCGGGAAGGCAACACTCTTTTCTTCAGCACAACGTCAGACTTTTTCCTACGGTGCTCTATAATAGCAAAAATCGCCTGTTTCTCTCCATCCATGAGTAGATGATAGAGCGTTATAGGAAAAGTTCCCCTTAAATGTCCTCCCGGCAGGCACTTTCTTTTTTTCAGCGAATCGGAGCAACATCAGACTTCCGCCTATGGTTGATCCATCAAAAAAAAATCGCCACTTTCCCTACATTCTGTCCATATGTCCTGAATACATACTCATGGGATCATGGGATGTCAGTCCCGCAGAGCAGGACACTGAGGATTGACACACACAACTACTTTGCGTATAAAACACTTAATGCGTTAGATCACCGAAGTGAAGCATCATTGGGCGCGGTCAGTACTTGGGTGGTGACCACCTGGGAACACCGCGCGCCGTTGGCCTTCACAAATTTGGGACCTGAATGGCCGAGTGTCTAGCGCTCTGGCGCTCGGTGCCACAGGTTTCGGGTTCGAATCCCGGCGGTGCCGTGGATGTTTGTAGTGGTTCGAATCCACTTTAAGCCGGTCCCGGTCTCCTATGAGACTGTAAGAGCGTCACGGGAGCCAAAGTCAGACTTCTACCTACGGGTGCTCCATCACAACCGAAGCTGCTTCCTTCCCCTTCAATCATGAGTACGTATGGGCTCGTGGGCTTGGCCAGCCAAGTGGGATAAGAAACAACAAACTTAATGTAAGTAGTTTGGTCATGTCATGGAGAACATGACTCATGTTCTCCATACTGCAATAAGACCGCTCTAACGATTGAAAATAATGTGTTTTTGAAATGCTAATGCCCTATGTAAAGAAGTCTTAAAATATAAATTGAAGGGAATTGTAGTATATATATATATATATATACACTCAAGAGCCAAAACATTATGACCCCCCTAAATTTTGCAATGAACTCGCCTGGATGACAGGGAAGGCACGTGATCAGGTGGAAGTGGTATTAACTGGTGGTATTAATCCATGCCAAGATGGATTAAAGCTGTGATGCGCGCCAAAGGTGGGCAACACAGCTCGTTATTGAAAGGTGGTCATAATGTTTTAGCTCTTGAGTGTATATATGATTCATTCAGTAAAGTTTTGACGATTTTCAATTAACTTCTTTTTTCACATATGAATGCAAAGTCCTTAAAAATATCATATTCTGTCCAAAATAGTAAATGATCCATGCATCAAAGAAATGTTTACTTCATTATTAAGAAAATTATTTTTTGAGAACATTTCTTAGTAAAAATATAATTCATTGGAGTCAAGGTTCAATTTACTGAAACAGATTTTGAATTCGAACTTATGACAAGATCGCTTTCTCTTCGAAAACGATAATTAATTAGAAATAATTTAGTTTTCAATATCATTCGCTTAATTACTTTATTAATACTAAGAGGTAAATATCTTTTTTTTTATTTAATTTTTAATAATTTGTGTCTCAGGTTTATTATTTTCTCTCCTTTTTCTCATCATTATAAGAAAAAAAATTTAAATTAAATATTTTATAAATTTCAAGTGCAAAATACCCTTGATTTTACAATTTTTTTTTTTAATTTTTATTTTAATTAATTTGGTACTGCTGAATTTATATTAATATTTTCTTAAATATCCAAACATTATTTGCAGGGTTTTATATCAAATTATTGTGATAAACTTAAAAAGCAGAGAGTAAATATTGTCTCATTAATTTTGTCTTTTAAGCATATATAAATAAATATTTAAATGCGACAAATAAGAAAAATTTAGTGATTCGAGCAGCTTTTAATTATTTGCTAAATTTGAACATATTAGTGGAAGAGAAAAAAAAAGACTTACAATAATATTTAAGAAAATACAAATTTAAAATTCTTCCATTTTAATTACTTTTTAAAGCACATTTTTTCGCAAATACGTTAAAATAATAAATAATTGCTCTTTCCAAGTTTCTTAATTATAAAACTGGAATACATTTGAATGATAATACTTTTCTTTAACTTATTTGAAGTAAATATGTTTTCTTAAGGTTTAATAATTGTGAGAGTTTTTAAAAAATATCGAAGTAATTGCAAAATTTATTTATTTTAATAAACTTGTATATTATACATACAAATGCAAAATTAAGTAACATTTTAAACGTTAGAAATATTTTTATATCATTTCACTATAAATATATATTTCCACCAATCAATAAATTAATATTGTTATTCTTTTATTTACAAATTACAATAAAAATAAAACTGATAACTTTTATAAAAAACATTTTACTTTTTAATATGAAAAATTCCTTATTTTATATGAAAAATTCATTGTTTTGTTCATTCCTCAAATTCATTCATTTTATATGAAAAATTAATTGTTTTTTAGTGCGGACAAATATTATTGAAGACAGACAGTGGCTTGATAAGCGCTATGGGGACTCTGCACCCGAGAAATCAATTATTATTGACTGGTATGTTGAATTTAAAAGTTGGCGTACAAATATCTATGATGATGAACACTCTGGTTGCCCCAAATCGGCAGTTGTTCCTGAAAACCTAAAAAAATTTACACAGAATAGTTTTGAAAAACCTTAAAGTGAAGTTGCCTGAGATAGCTGACCCCTTAAAGATAACAGAAGTTAGTGTAGCCAACGGCCATACCACGCTGAATATACCGGTTCTCGTTAGATCACCGAAGTCAAGCATCATTGGGCGCGGTCAGTATTTGGTTGGGTGACCACCTGGGAACACCGCGCCGTTGGCATTCATAAATTTGGGACCTGAATGGCCGAGTGTCTAGCGCTGTGGCGCTCGGTGTCACAGGTTTCGGATTCGAATCCCGGCGGTTCCGTGGATGTTTGTAGTGGTTCTTAATCCCCTCCGGGTCTCCTATGACTGTAAAAGCGTCACGGAGCCAAAGTCAGACTTCTACCTACGGGTGCTCCATCACAACAGAAGCTGCTTCCTTCCCCTTCAATCATGAGTACGTATGGTCTCGTGGGCTTGGCCAGCCAAGTGGGATAAGAAACAACAACAAAACAACAACAGAAGTTAGTGTGCTTACAATTCTACACGAAAATGAGAGTACGTTTAAAGTGCTTTCGAAGTGAGTGTGGCGTTTGCTCACACTGGAAAGCAAACAACAACACGCCGACTATGATAAGGCCTGTTTGGTGCTGTTTAAGTGACATAAAAAATATTCCATGCATCGGTATGTGACAATGGATGAAAATGTATCACCTACTTACACACTTGAAATGATCATCAGCTGAGTGGACAGCAGCCAATGAAACTCATCCAAAGCGTCAATCTCAAAATCATCAGGCAAGGTACTTGGACATGCATGATATTTTGTTCATCGACTAAATTGAGAAAGAAAACTGTCAATTGCGAATACTACATGTCATTATTGGATCGATTGACTGTAGAATTTTAGAAAAAAAAAGTGCTGTTTCACCAAGACAATGCCCCATGTCACAAGTCGAGGAAAACTCTAGTTAAATTTAATAAACTACTCTTCGAATTGCTTCCCCGCCCACCGTATTCTTCAGATCTGCCCCCCCCTCCACCCAGCCACTATTGGCGCTATGCAGACATCAAAAAGTTACTTCGTGGAAGGATATCTGGGCTCAAATGACGAAGTGATTACCGAAACTGACGTTTATTTTGAGAGCAAAGACAAATCGTTCTACAAAAAAAAGGTATCGAAAAGTTAGAGGAGAGTTGGAGAGAATATATCGCCCTTGAAGGAATCTATAGTAACGAGTAAAGCCGAATTTATAAAAAAAATGGTTTTTTCTAGCTAGACCGGAAACATATTTAATGATGTGTTAAAAATTCATTTTTTCGCATTTTTAATCTTTTTTAAAGTGAGTATCTTATATATAAGTATTTTGTAACAGAAGAAAACGTAGAGCTCTATAAATATCTATCAATTAAATCACTGACGAGAAATTATTGCAACTCATTGTCATCAAGCAGGATAGTTCTACATTTCCGTATCGTATATCATATAATCTAGAACCCCCAATGCCAAATGTTTTTTAGAGCAATTGATTGAAAGCAGTGATTTTTATTCATAGATGAAAAAAAGCAGTAAAATTTGGCTAATGATTTAATAAAGCAATAAAATTAGGGAATAAAACTTTTTTAATAAATTGTGATTTAATGTAAAATAGGAAAAAACGTAATATAAATTAATTTACTCCAAATACTTCGAATTCGATTATTACTCGGAGAAAAATTAGTATTTATTTAATTATCGGAAACGTTAGTGAAAGCATTGTCTTAGATCAAAGAACAAATGAGTTTGTGTGGATCTGAAATTTCTCATAATTTTCTCTCAATTATCCAATTTCTGGAAAATGAAGAAATTAGGAAGACTCATTTGTATGTTACAATATAATTGGTTTATTATTAAAATGAGATTCAAAGCGACATTGCTGCAACATTTTCATCAAAAAAATCCTACATTTATTTCATTGCGTTATGTCGCTGAAATTTAATTTCGTTAAATGAAATTACTTTGATTTAATTTTTAAAAGGCTATCATTAAATTCATAGATAATTAATTTTGGGAATTATTTCTAATGAAATAAAGTCTCAATTAATCTACCATAAATGGAAAGCATTTTAAGCTTTAAATATTTAAACTGAAACATTTGATTGCATTGATATAGGTTTCATTGTAATTTATTTATATTTTTTTTTTTCGTTCCAATGCAGCTGGCAAAACCTTAGTCAGCTTGGTCTTGGATGCCTTAAGGCAAGCGCTGCACAGACGTTACTCACTTTGCATTACGTAATTTATTTATATAATTATTGAATTTTATGTTTGAATTTTTCTGCTATAAACTTTCTTTTCTAGAAAATATACAAATAAAATCACACAAATACTAAAATTTAAAACCTAAAATTCCTTTGAAATCATTTACAGATTACTATATAAAATAATTCTAATGTTTTTAATTTAAAAAGCAATGTTAATTTTGAGGGAGAAACATTTTTCGGGTTTCTAACAGGTTTCGAGTACGAGACATTGCGACGCCATTGATGTTTGTAGTGGTACAATTCAAAGTGTAGTGTTTTGTTAAAGTTTGTAGTGGTACTTTTCAAAAATGATATTCAAATATTTGGTAGTTCCCTCTAAAAGTTCTCCCGGAAGACACTGTCCTCCTTTTTAGCTATACTGAGCAGAAGTTAGACATTTACCTACGGGGGCCCCATAACAACAGAAGCTGCTTCCCATTTCACGCTTTCCGTGAGGGAACAAAAACTATAAATTGTATTATCAGAATTTCTTCTTTAACATTAACAGAACTAATCAAAGATTATCAAAAAACTTATATGTTGCTCAAATAACGACAAATATTCAAACATAAACTAAAAATAAAAGAATTGCCCATTAAGTAGTTAGACAAATTAACATTTAAAAACTAGTTGATCGT